TATACGTTATTTTATTTAAATTATCAGTTTTTAATCTTTCTACAATCACATATTTTAAAACATAAATCGTCATGTTTTCGCTATTGCCGCTGTGCGTGTGTGTATAGTGTATATTATAATAAATACTGGTAAAATATACAGTGAGTATTATACGCACATCGCATACATACTAATATAGGTAGATACTATAAAAATATGTGGTCAAATAGAAAGACCGAAATGTTTTACAACTGTGGATTTTCACAAACGTCCCTATATTTTTTTTTCACGTATAATAATTCAAATCCATTTTCCTAAAACATTACGCGTTSGTCGATTTATCATATGAAAAAAATGATTACTTTTCTGGTCCTTGAATTTATAACAGACCATACATATTTTCACAAAAACGGCCGTAGTCCAAATAATTATATTTAAAATAACAGTGAAGCACATATTCAYTGCAGGATGTGTAATATACAGCTTGTAGTTCATCGTATAATATATTTCGTTTAGTTAGCACTTGCGAATTGTGTTTGCTGTTCTGAGAATTTTGAATACGTTAACATTTAAATCACTGGAGGCCCTAAATTTACATTTGAGTCATAAATATGTAAATATATTTTTCGAACCAAACATGAAATAATCAAAATAGTTGTGTTTAATTCAGTATTTTGATTTTAGCTCATTGGTTTTTGCACTTGTTTTAATAGCAGAAGATAATATTATGTTTCATATAATTAGATGGTTGCATTAGCCGATCAATTCACACAACAGTTTTCTACACGAGTTCGATGAAATATGGGTCGATGTAATTTTTAGTTTTTACCATCGCTCATTTGTATATTTTAAAAAGGCTCAAACCAATAGTTATAAATCATACATTCATAACGGTAATATTTTTAACAAATAACGATTTTTTCATTAGTTTCTTTGCGGTTATGGTGCATGTTGATGACATGAATATACTTGATAYTTGATTATTTTATAGGRATGAAATTAGGATTTAGTGTTGTTTTATTGTCATTTTGTATATAATAGTGTAGGCATTGAAACAATTCAACGTGATCAGCGTTCAAATTGTTCAATAAACTGAYKAAAATATTCATATTAAATTGATAATTTTCCAATGAAACATATTATTATTAATTATAGTTAGTCATAATGCGTAATATCCAAATAAAAAAGTAAAAAAATGAATTAAAAAGGTTTTTGAACTTCTCTGACTTAACAATGTTATTATCACAGTAGTTAGGTAATTATATTACTTTCAAATTTTATCTAGACAAATTCTAATTTGCATGAAATAATTAATTATTAACCCCAGTTGAGTTAATTCACGAGGTACACGGTGAGCGGTGAAGATGTACGTTATTGATCGCTGTCGAAATACAAACAAATTACATACTCATCAATATAAATGTAAGTTTTCTATATATCGCATATACGTTGAACCGTAAATAATTCGAGTCGATTATCGGCAACAGACTTACATCTGTCTGTATAACGACCGGTTGTAAGTAATAATCATTATATTATAGAGATTTAAGCGAAATCTGCAATATCTAATATAGATACCACAAAAGTTTTCTCACCGACAACTTATTGAGTTGTTGAGCAGAAATTATAGTAAACTTGACAAGTGAGTGGTTATAATATTATTTATGTATACTTGATGATAATTAATAAATGGCTATTAAATTTCAAAAAATTCACAAATAATAATATCTTATGTTATAAATTATAAAATGAGATGACTAAGATTACTATGTAACGTAAACGAGTTTCGTCATTAAAATGTGATGACAACATAACAGTTGTAAAGACATTAAAAATTGATATGTTTTTTTTAAATTAAATTAAATAACCATGATAGAAAAATTATTATGATCAATGCAACTAAATTTCATTATAACCATTATAATATTACTTAACATATAATATAATAAATCTTAATAAATATAAAAATATAAAATAAATGAAGAACAAAGTATTATACCGTAGTTTATTAGCTAATTTAATTAGTTGTGAATTACAATAATAGTTCTTTTAATAATTTAGTGTGTTATAATTTTAAATATTTGTAGATTTAATTATACAAGGCAGAAGCAGGATGAAATTATGTTTTTATAATTTGATTTGAAACCATGAAACCGCATACTTTATCAAAAAAAGTTCCAGTTTAAAAAAAACTTTAAGTATTGAGCAGATAAACTTTAAGTCCGTGAAAAATGTTATGGATAATATTATATCCTGTAAAATTTTTTGTGCTAGAACTTTTACATTTGATTAATGATATCAAACAAAATGTTTTATTTTATTTTTTTATTATGCTGTATTGTCATATATTTAGGTACTCCGCAAAACGAATTCGTAAATTTTAAGAACAGTGTTTTTACTCATCGAATTTATTTTTTTTCCTTGATACACATAATATGCGTTCATAAAATACAGGCAATATTAGGTAACAACTTATTCAATTTTCCTATTTATACTGAAATTAAATATCGGTATGGAGACCGAACTGATATGGGGTTTTCATCTACCAAATTCTGTTTTGATTTAGGAATAATTTAATATTAATTATACCTGCAGTTTCTAGTACCTATGAAATTTTGGTAATCATGTGTAATATATTTGGCTGTTTATAACTAATTTGTGTATGACCTTTTAACTGAGAAACTATGGAAATTGCAGTAAGTACTTGAAAATATCCATTAAAAAAAAAAAAAAAAAATTATAATTATAAATTATCACTTACTACTTATTTTAGTCTGTGGGTTAAAATTAATAATCTATTGCAGAAATTTCGTAGTAATCAACAGTATAACAAAAATAATAATTTATTTTTAAGATGTTAATTAAKAACTTCGTACTTCCAGTATTTTAAAAAAAGATTCAAAATTAACTGTATAATATAAAAAAAATCTCATACAAAAAAAGGATTTTTAGGTACCTATTTAAATAAGCAAAACTTTGAAACCCGTAATAGGTATAACTGTATATTATTTTAAAGCGGTGGTAAATTATGAAATTTGCGAAAAGGACAATCTCAATTKTAACTAACCTGAACCGCGGTTGTGGTCGGCGGGTGTACCGGTATCGCCGGGGGGTCATTTTGTACGGTCTTCGGAGCTGAGTATCTTGGAGTGGCACACGGTGGTCGGCAATTCTGGGCCCAAGGCGACGGTGTCAAAATTCCTCTGGTCCTGGGTGGCTGACGGACCCTGCAATAAGGGTGCTGCTGCTGTTGCGGTGGGGTCGTCGTCAGGGGCGTCGGGTCATCCATGACTGTGGGTAGAGAGCATGGGTGGCAAGGAGCTTTTGGCTGGACTGTGGACATTTCCAAGTGCCGTCGCGGGTCCAGTAACGGTCCGATGCCCAGCGCGCCCGCAGCTGTCACGAAACCGTCCATATTGTTTCCCGGGACGACGGCCGAGCCAGTGTACACGAACTCCAGGACGCGACTCATATCCTCGTGGCCGACGTCCTGCAGGATGATCGTAACGCTGTCGTCCGGTCCAGGATGGCTGAGAAACAGTGTCTGCAACGGAGGAAAGTTTACGTAAATGATAGTACGATTTATTATTGTACGAGTTTAGAATATAAAAATATTGTCGGGTCATGAGCGTCYATTATCGAGAGCCTGCAGTAGGCTGCATGCGGACGGATCTTGTACCGATACAATATAATGTWATGAAGGTACCCAAATTAAAAAAAAATAAATTATATTATAATGTAATATTGTTGATATTCAGGTATAATATAATTTATAATGTACGCGTCTCATATTGCATAGATTAGGCAAACCTGGGTTAGATCTTGCGGCCTATATCGTATATATTTTTTCGTTTTATCTATACCGCACGTGTGTATTTACATAGGATTTGTTTCCGGTCCTTTAAAAGAGAATGTGGTGGTGGGGAAGGGTGTGAGAGGAGTGGGAAGATACACGTGCGTGATAGCCGACAAATTATTATAATAC